ACAACAAAGCAAGATGACAGAACAAATTGACATAAACAGAGAACATACACATCAACATACTAATTTCCCTGAACAACTAGGCACTGACTGTTGACAAGGACAAATAAATGTCCTACAAAGCAGTCGATTAATTTTTGGCACAAATTGAACCCCATACTCAAGAGAGTATGTGATTTCGGACGCAGCCGAGATGTCAGGTTGGGAAGTTATTTTGATTAAAGATTTTAAGGACACATACATTAAAATAATAATAATGTGCAGTGTGCACAGATAAATCATTTATAATTATTTATAATATATTTATAAATATTTATATATGGCATATTCTATAATTAAGAATGAACCATTTTGATGTCATGGTGACGTTGAGCCCGTAAGTAAACGTAGGGTAAACACTTGCAGAGCTGCTATGTCATATTGGATTTAAGATATAAGTCCTGAGCAGTTTAACCCTCAGGTGCTCTTTGTTTCAGAGTCACACTTGTTATCTTCCCGGTCAGAAGTGACCGGACACCTAAAAATTAAACTTTCTCCATCCCAGTAAAACCAATGCAATTTATTTTTGTTCAATAATATTTTTTCATTTTAATTGTATTTTGAGACAATTTGATGTTACTTATTAATATTTATGCAATATTTATGGCCCATTTTCGCCATTGAAAACAATACAAAAAAATTTTCCCCTAATTTATAAAAATATTTCGTCAATTATTGCAGTATTTCAGATTACTGGCCTTTTAAATCCAATTTTTGAAGTCAGATTAGCGCCATCTGTTGAGAGAAAATAAAATAAAACATGTTGTTTCATAGTGTAACCATTAGATCCCTGTATAGCTCTCTATGGAGAGGCTTGTGAATTCTCTAATAGTTTTGGACAAAATTACTTACTTTTAAGATGTGGATTTGAATGTGTGTTTTTTTTAATTCTCAAATAATATTTTTTGCCATGGTTTATAACTTTAAAAAAAAAAAAAAATTTGATGTGAAGTGTACACGTTTTTGCATTATTACTACAGTCAAACCTGAATACAGAGAAACCATTATATTACAGGTAACATTACAATTCAATAAAAAAATAAACAGTAATGGTTTTTTCACAGCTTATTATAATTTATATTATTATTATTATTATTATTATTATTTTAAAACATTAATTTATTATCTTTAAATATTATATTAATTATTATTTTAATAATTTTAATAATTATTATATTATATATATATATTAATTATAATTATTAATTATGTTATGTTTTTCACTATTGATGTTTTTTTCTGCATTGTGGCCGATTTGTAGAAAATTTGTGTTTGTCAATTTCCCATTCATTTCCTATGGTCGGTCAATTCATTGGTGTGTATGTGTATAAAAAGTGTGTTTGTATGTGTGTGTGTGTGGGTGAATGTGTCTGTTTTGCACTCTTGATGTTTTAGAGTGTCACCCCTTCATTGTTGAGCATGTTTTATTTTCTGCATCGTGGCCAATTTGTAGATTGTACACACAAAAATTCTCAGAATTTTTGTGTTTTTGTCAATTTCCCATTCATTTCCTATGGTCGGTCATGTTTGACAGAAGAGCAAAAGTGTGACTCATTTTTTTATGACCACTTAAACTGCTCGAATCATTTTTTGTGTGTTCACATACCTATTGCCATAAAAGTCACCAAGTTTCGTAATTTTCTGATGAAGCTGTGATTTTTAAATATTCAAAACAGATTTCTTTAATCACAATTTATTGGTGTTTTTGTGTATAAAAGTGTGTGTGTTTGTGTGTGTGGGTGGGTGGGTGGGTGGGTGGGTATGTCTGTTTTGCACTCTTGATGTTTTAGAGTGTCACCCCTTCAATGCTGAGCACTTTTTTTCTGCATCGTGGCCGATTTGTAGATTGTACAAACAAAAATTCTCATTGTTTTTGTGTTTTTGTCAATTTCCCATGATTTCCTATGGTCGGTCATTTTTGACCGAAGAGCACAATGTGACTATTTTTTTTACGACCACTTAGCCTGCTCGGATCATGACCTCAATTTTTTTGTGTGTTCACATACCCAATGCCATAAAAGTCACCAAGTTCCGTAACATTCTGATGAAGCTGTGATTTTTAAAATTTTAAAACAGAAAGTTTTTCGGTCAGAAATGACCGAAGAGCACCTAAAGGGCAGGGAGCTGATGCTAAAAGCTTATAATCCTGCTTATGTATTTCAGACACAAGCAGAACTCAACAGACTATTAATAGCTCTCCCAAATAAATAAATATCTATTTGTATTGATATGGTACAATTGTGATCTATGTTTAATATTGAGTTGATGGAGTTGTGAGTTTGCCTGGTGTGCATTTTATAATTGTTCTTGCTATTTGGGATAAGTAGGACCTAATAAATATTATAACTAAAATTTGTTTTTGTACAGGAAGTAGTTTTTGCAGAAAATGATGTCCTCATGTGAGGACAGTGGGTCTATGATTTACCATATGATGTCATCATGTGAGGACACAGTACTAGCAATAAAAAAAAACTTGTGGTTGTAAAATGGTTGTAATTCAAGAATGCTTTGGAATATAGACATATGGTTTGTCTTGTTTTTAAGAAGACATTTGCCAGATTATTGTAGACGTGAAATAAATTATGAAAGTGAAACAGAAAAAAAGTTATATAAGTTTGAGTTTATGAAAATATAGAATGTAAAAATATAATTATTTATATTTTATATAAAATATATATATTATAAAATATATTTTACTCTAGAACTGCTAGAAAATTAAAGCCAAAAATCTAAACAAGTTGTGTTCCAAATTTTAGCTTGATATCTCAAAAAATGAGCTTTTAGTAAGATTTTATTTGGGCGTAGTACCAAACTTTTTCACTAGATGGACAGCCAGCTTCCTTACTGACCATATAAGGGTGTCTCCATTTTCATATGTTTTGAGTGATCTGAACCATGTCTTTCCATAATTTCATACAATTTATTAAGTATACATCCTATTCAGAAATAGTATGGGTGTTTTGGCAGTATTTGATTTGATTTCAACCTCTAATAAACATAAAAAGAGCACATGTGCGTTATAGCTCGCTGCCGCATCACAAATCGAGAATTCATAATATTTTTCTTTATATTCTAAACATTTTCAGACCTTTTTTTCTCATAACATTTAATTAGTGTTATCTTTTGAACTCTTGTTATGAAAACAAACTGAGGTTAATCTTTCATGATTTTTCATGTTTTTTTTTCTATTTCAAAATAAAGGCCTAAACACGCCTAATGAATATGAAATATTCTTGTTGCAAATTGATAAATTACTGCTATTCTGTAATTTATTTTAAAAAACAGCCACCAAATATGAAAACTAGAGATTGTAAGCTTTCAAATGATATTTAGTTTGTCAATATTACTTTAGGTTTTTACTAAGATATTATTGTTCTAAATATATATGGGCAAACGTCCCACGTGGGACGGTGACAGTTAAGGGGATAACGTAATATAGTCCCAATGTCCTCAAACGAGTACTTCATATTTACTGATGTCCTAGAGTGCTACTATTACTAAAATATGTCAAATTTTAATCCCCATATGATGATAGAGACAGTATTGTACATAAATACATTTGTTTCATTCATATAATTTGAATAGATTTTTTACCTGGGTCATTTTTCTTTCGGGAACTGGTGTAGAAGTGTTATGGTTAGGGTTAGGGTCATTTTCTTCTCTGACAGTGGTGTAATGTTGTGATATCACTACAAGATGGTGTGGGCAGTGCCCCTAAATGTGGCCAACATGTCTAAGATTTACAAATTTGACTATCATTGTGTCAAGAGGCAAAAATGTAATGTCCTCATATGAGGCCGCAGGGTCTCAGGAGGTTACTCTGCATAGCTATTCTATTTTAACACAATGATTGATGTAAAAAAAAATTATAATTAAATTCAAAGCAGTGTAGCCTATAATATAAAGGAGAAAACAGTATAGTGTGACACCAAATGATTTACAATGCAAATGCCTTTTTGTTTCCACACCTTTGGCATAACAGCACTAATATTGTTGTATGCAGGTATCATCAGTTCTAGCTGAGTTAAACAGAGAACAAGACCGTTCTTTGTTTTGCCTGCAAATCTGAAATTCTATCTACTTCTTGTAGAACAAATAGTTTGATGTGCCTCTCATCTCATCTCAGTTTTGGCTTGTTCTGTGGATGGAGTGATTAGTAGAGATTAATGAGGAGAGTTTAAATTTTATCACATAGCCTACAACAAAAAATAAAAGGACTTGAGAGGAAAAAAAATATATTAGGCCTAATAAAAACTTAATATGTTAGTATTTTCGATTATTGGGTTAATCCTAAAGATTTATATGTTAGACCGAAAAAACTAACCAGCCGATCCCTGGCTTAATTCGAAACTGCATACCAAATAGCCTACTCTTACCATTAAAAGTAGTATGAGTGGTAGGCTATAATATGATATTTTTAATTCAGCCCATCTCTCATTTTGCACAAGTCCCGCCTTAAACTAACGGCATTTTCAGAGAGCCGTCTCAAAGTATTCAGATTGTTTAACATGTGCGGGCCGCGGTCACATTTTATGTTTACAGAGTCTCTATCGGACTATTTCTGTTACAGTCTGGTTGTACGGAGGCTTTATTACGTTGTTTCCCAAAAATTACGCCCGTCAGTTTACTTAAAATCATGATTGGTTTTTATAATGTTATAGACAGTTTCGAGCGGGTTATGGCACTAAAACGTTAATTGTCCAGCAAACATAGATCCGCTCTGCTGAAGTGCAGCATATAGCGCTAGAGGTTTTTAGCTTGACATGATTATATTAAAAGCTGTCACTTTTGCTAGCGTTAAACCCACAGGAAACACTGATGACTAGTAAACGTCTTGATGGTGCAGTCGCACGTCGATGACAATATACCAAACGCGTTTGGACACGACAGTGGAATGTTGCACAATCGGTTCGTGTGACGTGGGGTCCAGTAAGTTTGAGTCTTTGAAACTATTAAGTAGAAACTACACCACCACGAATGCTTTCACACCCACTCTCTCTGCTCACTCCGCCCAGGAACCGTCAGTTTATAGAAGGAAGCGCTGAGACATCTGGCTAAGGATCGCTTTGTGTGCCAGCTGATCAGAAGTGAAGATGGCAGAGGGAAAACAAGGTGCCAACATTGGGGGCAACATTGGCGCGGGAGCTGGCATCCTGGCCAAACGCTTTCAGAAATCAATGAACCGAGCACAAGAGAAGGTAGGTGGGGTTTTTTGTTTAGTTCAGGACCTTGGCTCTCAGGTCATGCTGCTCTGAGTCTGGATGTGTATTTTGTGTGTGATTATCCAACATATTCTACTTGTATTTATAAGTCCTGAAGAAAAATGATACAAATGTACACAGGATATGAAAATATTGTGAGTTGTGGAGCTGTTTTTTTTTGTGTGTTTTTTTGTTTGTTTTCAAATTCACTTTTGTGAACACAAGGACTGCCACTTCCTGCCCTCAATCACTTCCTCCCTAAGCTCACCTCCTCTTCTAAATTTCACTCTTTTGCAGACTGCACACAGTAGCGTTTCTTATCTTAAAAACACTCATTTGTTTTAATTCAGGAAATGTAGTGTTCGTTAGAGCTTTTCTGATCTTTCCTCATCACAAGGAACAATTGCTGCAATTGATATTCGAGAATAAATGTGGAACTGCATGGCGAGTCATATTTCAGACAGTGGCCATACAGTGACAACTTGATCTTCTGCCTGACATCATGTCTGACTGCAGTGTGATCAACTTGGTTGTAGGTCAAGCAGAAGCTGGGCAAGACCATGGAGACGAAAGATGAGCAGTTTGAGGAGTGCTCTTCCAACTTGAACAAGCAACAGGTATGATGTATGAGAGGGAAAGAAAAACATGCAGATTTTGTTACCTCAAACAATTGACAGTCTGCATTAAATAGGGTCACCGCTCAACATTAGCACATTGTTATTTAAAGGAACTGGACTGGGTGAGTTGTGTTGTGTTGTATGAACACTGGCAGAATGATTATTGAAAGTAGCACAGGAAACCCCACCTTTAGAAAATGTTAATAAGTGACTGCACTGCAGCTCTCTTTCTTTTCAGTACAGTATCAAGGGTTGACCTTTTCTGGCCTATTTTTATCCCATTTATTCCCTCAGCCAACCCAGGAACCCCCTATAAAATGATATACTTGATTGGTAATTTTCATTAATAACACTAACACATTTTTATTATAGTACACTTGTGTTGACGTAGTTTCTCACTTAGGAACTTCACATCCTATTCCATGTCCTGCATGCTTCGCAGCACTGAGAATATATTATATTTGTTTAATAATCATAGATGGTTTACACTCTGTAGATGCAACCAAGTCAAGAGGCTGCTACTTTCAACCATAAATAAAATGTACATTTACATATTACATACATGTAAGTTTTCATGTTTTATTTTAATCCACTTACCACAAACAGTAGCTTCAAGAACCAAATAGTAAAATCCATTGAACTAATTTCCTTACCACCTACACATTTTCTATTTTTATTCAGACAATTTCAATTCCCATAATATGCCTGTTAAAAGGTCTTAGGTACACATGGCATTTCAAAATGCACTTGACTATAAAAGTAAGCAAACATTTTTGAAATGGGATATTTCACCCAAAAATGAAAATGTTGTCATCATTTACTCACCCTCAAGTTGTTCCAAACCTGTATGAGTTTCTTTTTTCTGTTGAACACTAAAAAATATATTTTAAAGAATGTTGGTAATGAAACATTTGACGGCACCTGATTGTCTTCCATAGTAGGAAAAAAACACTATTGAAGTCAGTGGATGCCGTCAACTGTTTCATTACCAACACATTCTTTAAAATATATTTTTTTTAACAGAAGAAAGAAACTCATACAGGTTTGGAACAACTTGAGGGTGAGTAAATGATGACTGAAATGAAAATTCTGTCATCATTTACTCACCCTCAAGTTGTTCCAAACCTGTATGAGTTTCTTTCTTCTTCTTCTTGGGTGAACTATCCCTTTAATGAACCTTTAGCCTTTAGACAACATGTGATTGTTTCTTTTCTCTTTCCAGACTGATGGCGTCAGACTCTTTAAGGATGTTAAAGCGTACTACAATGCTGTCAAAGGTACTACTGTCTTACTCAATTGAAATACAGACATTTTTTTGTATGGAAATCTACTGATTGAATCTTTTGAATCACTCTACAGAACTTTGTATTTCATAATACTTGTTTTAATTGATTCAGATTTTACATTTTAGTATTGTGCTATAGGCTGCTGGGTGAGAGTGAAAGTGAGATGAGATGATCTTGGTTGTGTTTCCCCGATTCAGCATTTGGGGAAGTGAATGTCTGTCAATAATGGAACTGAAAATGCTTATTGTGTAAATGTCTACAAGAATAGGTGACCTTCCCAATTGAATTGTGGGCGTACTGCCCAGATGTATGTTTGCAGAGCTTTCTGAAAATACGAAGGGGTTATTGAGTTTGAGGAAGACGCAAGATGTTCGTGGTCTCGTTGCGCAAACCATCTGCGCTCTTTTGATAGAAACCAAAGTCACCGCATGTGTTTTTAGCCCCATCTCACAGATGTTCTAAACGGATGAATTGGTATCTGTGCTAAATCTCTGAATGTGGCTGAATCTAAAACGGTTTATGTAACCACCGTATTAGAGAAATAAATTCATTATTAATTTATAATATACCACGGAATAAGCTGGTATATTACATTGAATGTAATTATTAATAAAATTTCCATCCAGCACTGTATGTTTTGCAGCGCTTGATGACTACGATAAGATACTTAAGAATGCTCATTGGTTGATTTGATAATTTCTTAATACAGTCACAGCTTTGTTACTTGCAGTGACTTGTTGGGAATAGAAAGAGTTTTAGTACTACTGCCAAATTGTGTAACATTTTTAAAAGAAGTCCTCACGTGATGTTTTGTACATTCCCTGTTTCTCAGTGATGCATGAATCATCCAAGCGCCTGTCCCAGACTCTTAAAGATATCTATGAACCAGACTGGCATGGTGTCGAAGATCTGACTGTCATTATTGAGGTAGACCAGGCCTTTTTTGTGGCATTTAATAGTTGAAATCTCTACCTTCCTTGCCTTCATCATCTCTCTGGCTTGATATTACAGAGTGAGGATCTCCTGTGGAATGACTATGAGGAGAAGCTGAGTGATCAAGTCGTTCGAACAATGGAGAATTACACGGGACAGTTTCAAGATGTCAAAGTTTGTATAACTGCCAAATTACAAACCTGAACGTAATAAATTGTGTTCACTATCTATAGCCTAGGTCTGTTTAGTGTGTTTTTGAAAGGTTGTCAGGCTTGGTTTTGAATATCTGTTTTTAGCCTTGACAATTTGGCTGTTATCTAAAGTTTTCTTAGACTTTTTGATATTGTTTAACAAAACAAAAATTCATTGGGGGAGCTATAACTTTGTCACAGCTTTAGTTTAGAGTGATGGATAGTATCAGATGCTAATACCATGGTATCTTTAAACATACCAAAGCATTGAATGCTTATTAAATTCTCATAGTATTTACATGGTACTTCAAAATCATTCTTAAGTTTACTGCAGCTTTAAATTCTCTAATACTGTAATCTTGCAGGAAAGAGTGGCCAAGCGAGGAAGGAAGCTGGTTGATTATGATTCAGCTCGTCATCATCTGGAGGCGCTACAAAACTCTAAGAAGAGAGATGAGGCCAAAACAGGCAAGGTCAGCTAACATTTGATCATTTAAATATCCCATTTTAGAAATGGTTCATATTGCTAGTTTGTTATAGCTCATCACTAATTGTATGACCATTGGTGCTGATTCCTCTCAGGCCGAGGAGGAGTTCAGTAAAGCCCAGGAGGTGTTTGAAGAAATTAACAAGGAGTTAAGAGAGGAGCTGCCTGTCCTCTATCAAAGGTTGGTACAGCTTTATTAACAAAAATTAAACTTAGGGTGTGATTACACTTTGAATGTTTGGTTCGATTGAAACAAACCCTGGTGCGACTGCTCTGTTAGTGCGGTTCATTTGACTAAGTGTGAACGCTAAAAAGACGAGAGCGCTGCAAAAATATGAACGATTGAACAAAGACACGTACTGTAAACGAACCAAAACCAGGACATTATGTCACTAGATGCGAGCCTAAAAAAGACTGCTCAAGCATACCTGTCATAGTTCCGATGTTGCCCATCACAGTTCGGTACAGGCACTCGCAGCAGATCTTAGTGTTTGTGTGTGTGACAGAGGGAATCCTGCCGCTGTTTTGACTCCTTTACACATTTTATAAGTGCTTTACAAGTTGACGGCTCCATCATATACTATCTTATACCATGGTCTGGGTGAATACTCGATTCTGATTGGCTGCAGGGTGTCCGTTAAAAAGTGATAGAGGACACCTAGTAAAGGAGTTCTGGTGAAACTGCCTGTTTACCGTTCGAAATTAATAAATAAATGCGCTGCCTACAACAGCTGTGACTGAGTAACCATAGCAACAGGCAGTCAAAGTATCCGTTAACAATTTGCTCTATCAAAACAAACATCTAACGTCAGTTAGATATTACATAGCCTACTAATACAACAATGAGCGACTTCGTTATTTCATCTTCAGTCTCTCACGGACTGACGGAGCAAGCCCGCAGACTGCTCTCGCATCGATGGCCTGGCTGTCACCGACATTATTTGACGGCTCTCCAGTCCAGCATCAGAGAGTCGACCTACAGCGGTGCTTCGGAGGCTGTGGTTAGTGTAGACTCGTGTAACACATAGTGTTTTATGTGTAATAAAAAATAACTATGCCTACCTTTGTGTTTCATGAAAAAAAAATGCATTTTTGAACCTGAAGGGTTCTACAAGTTGAGCGGACTATATATCTCAAGTTGCTAAATAAATCGTCAGGCAAGTTATTATTTAAAAAAACTAGATTTAGCCTAATTAAAATATAAACTAATGTTTTAAAAATGTTTTATTTGGCAAGTGACCATGGTATAAGCGGGTTAATGCCCTTCGAGGTGTCCGTTGTAAGGTTTTAATGGACTTCGGCGGAGGCAACCGTCCTCCGCTGCGCGTCGGCCGGTTTACACCTCGCCGTCGTCCATTAAAACCTTACAACGGACACCTCGTCGGGCATTAACCCTTACATAGTACGCATTTACAGCGAATGCATTTTTCGTTGCAAAATATGTCATAAAAGCTCTTCTTTTCTTTTTTTTTATCTTTGGATTAATAAGTGTGAACGTGAAGCGAACCAGGACTAAATGTATAGTTTTCTCTTTTTTGGTCCGGACCAAAAGAACCAAGAGAACCGAACTACAAGTGTGAACACACCCATAAAATAGATAAATGCATTCAGCCAATTCCTTCCTGTCACCGAGGTCTCTAATAATAACAATGTAATTTAATTTGGCTACATTGTCTTCCTGTTTTCAGCCGTATAAGCTGCTACGTCACCATGTTCCAGAACATCTCAAACCTGCGGGATGTCTTCTACAAGGAAATGAGTGTGGTAAGAATGCAACATTTGCGTTTTATTTTACTTTGATGCTCGTTTTTTTACGTAACAGAAAATCTGTTAAGTTTAACTTGGAAAATACACCTCATTATTATGACTCACAACATTTCCTTTTCAGTAACATTGTTTAATGTTCAAATCTTAATTCAAAAGTTAAAGAGGTCAATGTTGCTGAATGACAGAATTTCATTTCATGTTTCAGTTAAATCACAATATTTATAATATGATGAAGAAGCTTGAGGATCAGCACTCCACCAAACCCTTCATCATCAAAGGCCTGAACAGGTAATATCTTTAATTGGAAATAATTAATTTCTATGAAGATCTACTGTGGCCCCAAAGTTTAGACTATCGATCCATATTCAAAATGCATGAATAATTGCATAAAATAATAATAAGAAGGATAACACAAACACTTTTCCAGTAAAACTTTGTGGTTGTCAACTTAATGGAACATGATGAACATCTTACTTTTGGAGAAAACTTGCTCCACCGTTCAAAAGTTAAAGAAAATATTCACGAAGGATGCATTAAATTAAAGAAAGGTAACCGTAAATACATTTATATGGTTACAAAACTTTTTAAATTAATGCTTTTCTTTTGAACTTTCACATTTCAATTCATCAAAGAATCATGACAAAAAAAATGTATCACATTTCCCAGCAACTGTTTTCTGTCATCGATAATACTAAATATTTCTTGAGCATCCAATCAGCATATTAGATTGAAAGTTCACCTTTTCCATCACATAAATAAATCATTCAAATGGAAAACAACTATAGTGTACTTCATACATCCTCTAAAATGACATTTTCACAAGTTGGTTAGATGGCATTGCAAAGGAAAGTGTAAGTTAATTATAGGTAAAAATCTTGCATGATCTGTTTACGTAAGTGTAGATTAAGTGCTCCTATACTTTTTGTGGCCATTGTATATTGCACGTCTTTAAAAGTAGGAAGTCGGTGTACCAATTAAGAGAAAAAAGTAGGAATTGTGAGAGAAACTCACAATTGTGAAATAAAAAGTCGTAATTACCTTTTTTTTTATTGAGTTTGTATGTCACAATTCTGACTTTTTTTCTCAATTCTGAGAATTGTGAGAAATAAAGTTAGAATTGTGAGATACAAACTGGGAATTGCAACTCGATTTTATAACTTTCAATTCTGACTCTATTTCTCGCAATTCTGAGTGCTGAGATAAAAAGTCTCAACTTTTTTATTCTGTGGTGGAAGCTTCCATAGAAATCAAAGACTTTTTTGTCTTTTTATTATCCCTTATTTTCTTCCTCTTGTGTTTAGTTCTAAATCTAAGAAGAGAAAGTCTGTCACGATCTCTGCACCCATCCCCTGTAACACCGCCTTCCCTTCGGATCATCCGGGCATGAGCAAGCTCAGCATGCCCGACACCCTCACGGACACGCGTTCACACACTTCCTCCAAGAGCACAGGAAGCACAGCATCTGAAATATCAGACTCGGAGTCGAACTCTTTTGACAGTGAGCCCAACACACCCAAACGACAGTCTTTGTGTTCGGAGGGTGAAGGGGTTCGATCTGTGGGAGCTGCTGAAAACCTGTCAGAAAGTACCACTGATGAGTCTGTGCAAGCAAACGGCCAGGAACATCAAGGTTCAGTGGCCACTGAGCACTGTGAAGAGGAGGAAAGTAAATCACAAGCATCATCAGAAGACACCCATCATGCATCTGCAGATGGAGACAATGAGGCTAAGCCCTTATCTGGCGATGAAGATAAAACAGCACCTGTCCCAAGTCCTCGAATACCCAGCTTCTCCAAGAAAAATGAAGGAGAGATGGATCAAAATACAACGGGATGCAGCAAGATGGAGGGAGCAAAGGAAGACGTTAAAGCCCAAAAGACAGAGTATGAAAATCCTCCTGGCTTCCTCGATAAGGTACGGTGTCTTTGGAAGTGTTCAAACAAGGAAAGTCATTGATTTGTATTTGTGTGGGTAATCATTGCTTTTGTTTTATTCTTTTCCATAGGCTGTTGCTCTGGAGAATCAGGACTCAGATGAAGGTGTGCTTCTGCTGTTTGAAAAGGGAGATGTGATCCTTATATATGTCGATGAAGAAGAAAAGGTGAGGTCTATATATATTTGTTGTGTGGCATAGGAGTTTTTACTTCACTTTCTTGCATCTGGGAACAGGGTTTGAAATTGGGAGGTTGTTGGTTCCATCACTGTTAAGGAAACTGTTGTGTCCTTAAGCATATTGGGGGACAGTAAGATTCTTGTTTGTTTGATTTTTATTCAGCAAGGATGGATTACATTGAACAAAAGTAACAGTAAAGACATTTATGATATTTCAGACTATTTATTTGTCCAATAAATGCTGTTATTTTGACCTTTTTATTTCTTGAAAGAATCCTGAAAAATTTCTGCTGTTTTCAACATTGATAATTATAATAATAATTTCTTGAGCAGCAAATCAGCATATTAAAATGATTTCTGAAGGATCATGTGACACTGAAGACTGACGTAATGATGCTGAAAATTCAGATTGCTATTACAGGAATACATTTAATTTTAAAATCTATTAAAATTAAAAACATTATTTTAAATTGTAAAATAAAATAAATAAATATCAAAATGACTGTTTTTACTGTATTTTCAAATAAATGCAGCCTTGGCTTCTTAAAATATTAGAAAATCTTACTGACCCCAAACTTTTGAACAGTAGTGTGTGTTTTTTTCCTTTCCAAATTTCAGTTATTATTACCTGAATAACTTGCCCCCATCATGGCTTTCAAATCTCATTCATGCTTTTGTATATTCACATTTGCCGTGTCATGCTCCTGCGTAAAAAACAGTTGTATTTGGCATCAGCATCAAAATGCAGCGAGTTTCGAATAGAATACACATGTCGAATAGAATTTTAGGAAGTTTATCAGTGAATAGCTTTATGGACTACATTCATAAGTGCTTTCTTTGTCCTTTTTGTAAATGTTTTTTTTTTTTTTTTATAATTTTTTTATTATTAGCTTTGATAATGATTTGTTCATTCTAATGAATCAGTCTGAAATCTATTAGTACTTTTCATCATTCTTGCAATGTTGTGAAAATCTTATATTGCAGCCGGAGGGCACAGTATGGGGCGTGAGAGAGCAGGACTGGATCCAGTACAAGGATCTAACACTACTCTCTGGCATTGTCAAGGAGACCATGATCGAGCGCATCTCCTCTGATTAAGATGGCATGTGAACGCGAGGTGCCTTGAGTGCCCGTCTGAGTGCACCCATGACTGGATGTCGTAATATGAACTTTGTCCGCCCCTTCCACTAGGTATGAAATACAGTCTGACTTCTTTAGTATATGGTGTCTTTACAAGTTCCTGTCGCAGCCTCAAGCCTTCATGCATTTCTTCACAGTTTCATTTGCATGAATGAAGCCAAATATTTTGTGTCAGAAAAAAGAAAAAAAAATTCATAACATACTGCACTTTCTGGTGTTTTGTTGAACTAACTGTGATCTCTGCTCTATGTGTGTTGACAGTGTAATGTTTGTCAATGTCATTGTCAATGATGTTTGTTTCTCTTATAAACTCAGTGTTAAAGATTGACTACCAAGCTTTTTACAATGTTTACAGGACCAAAAAATGTGTTTATGTGAGTATTACTTTGAAACGTTTTCTTAAATCAATAGAAAATCTATTGTTTTTACTATAATAAAGTTGACTGCTGAAAAAAGTTCCATATTGAATTGTTATTGTATGTCCAGTGCTCAAAGTGGGAAAAAATTGCAAGTGTCATTTTTATTTGCATAAGTATGGTTACCAAACTTGTTGGGGTAACAATCACGTGACGTGACCAACCACATGTGAAGCACTTGCTTTGGTTTTGTGACATCTAGTGGACATTAGTGGAGTTTGCACAGTTTTGCACACTCATTTGCTAGATTCTCGAAGAGGGTTGGCAACTCTCACGCATTTGGCGCTCTGTCTCACGCTCTCACACCACAGAGAACACAAACACTCATACAACAGAGAAATGATGATGCGACTAAAAATATGCATTTCCATGCGTCATAAAATGTACCCATGCACTGTATATTGTTACAACGTTTTACTGTACATTTGCCATAGTGTAGAGAAAACAAAATAGTTTACATTTATTTATGCAACTATTTTTTATATATATATTAATTACCCAGTAAATCTAACTCGCTTGTAAATTACCATAGATAGAGGTGATATTACCTAGCCTATCTGCTCAACATAGATGGCAGGAAGCTTATATAGAATTGCTACTTTGCTACATGTAAAGCACTTTGTGATTTTATCTATGAAAGGTGCTATATAAAGCTTACTTACTTACTTATATGGAAATGGAATAAAAGTGAAACTAGCACATACAAGATATATTACTGCTATTACCACCAGCAGTTTCTTCCACTACTACAGCTGGGATTACTTAGTCCTAGATATTATTAGTTACAATATTAATATCACCATTACGTTTACTTCTACAGCTACCGCATTTAAGAAAATATACACTTTTTCCAAATAAAAGTTCCGTATATTAAACCCAATGTTTCTTACATTTGCCGTCATGATAATCATAACCATTTCAAATCCAATTAGTCATCGCCTAATATCACACGTCATTTTCGAAACATTTAGTAATTTGTTTTGCACATTCAAGCCTTACTCAAGTCAGTCTCTAAAAGACGTGTCGTTTTCATCCATACCCGTAGGAGTCGCTGTTTTCTGTAAGACGGACGCATGATTTCACTTTTGCCCCTGTGCTGTACATCGGCGAAGAGCAACAACAATTACACGCAGTCAGCGCGGGTTATGGAGCAATAAATGACAGTAAACGTGGATTGGTCGTTTGAGGCGGTCTTACTGTCGTTCATAAAACCCCGGTCAATGTCAGTTCTGCACTAGTAGCTGTTACTGCAGCTGGATCAGCGCTGTCTCCAGGTCAGAAGAGCGGATGCTCCTGAACAACTATTTTTAGTAACTGGATAGTTCTTTGTTGTTTTGGGATTTTTCAATAATGTTTTCCTTATTCATGTATATTTGACGACAGGAATGGCATTCAATAAGACGTATGTACGCGTGGGCTACTCGTGTGTTGGGATGTTGGTGGGATTTTCGGCGTTTCTAGTGTGGAACATCGCCTATAAACAGCCGTGGACAGCCGCGATGGGTGGATTATCAGGTACTTTCTTTGGCTGTGTCTCAAATGCAGGCGGGAGCCGCCTACCTAGACAGCATTATTGGCCATCATGAACTGATGCTGAACGCGCCTGGGTTGCCAAAAATGTTGTCTAGGTTGGCAAATAATTAGGTTTAGTTTAGCCTAGGGCAGTGTTCAAATAGTTTTTGGTATGTTTTGAAATGGAATTTTAAGTAAACTTCTAATTGCTACTTTTGTCCCTTTCGTCGAGTAGCAACTTAGTTAGGGCACTTAAGCGAATAGAATAGAAAAAAGTAAAGTATTTGTATCCTTTTCAGTTTGAGATCGTGAACTTGGTTGTAAATGTTAATTGCTTTAAATACATAGATAAATGCAAGAATTAGATAAATGCAATAATTGAGAACTATATGAGAACGTTTTTTAACATTTAATTGTCAAGTGTACTGCAGTAACTGCACAATACATTTTATATTTCGATTTATAAAAATGCTATATGCTACTTTAATAAATGTTGCAATGGATAAAATCTGTGTCTACTGTATGTAAAATAGGAATATGTTTGTTAGATAAAATATTAATACATTAATGCAGGTTTAATACGCTTTAATAATTAACTTTCTGCCTATTAGCATGAGTGAGTAGCCTACTAATGAACAAGATGTGTTTAATATGTAATTTTCCTGGAGTAGTTTACACATTGTTATTGCTAGTCCTCAAGTAGTTATGTTAACAAACATTGTGTAATATGGATACTGAAGCATAAAATGCGACTAGCTAAACCAGATGTTTTTTTTTAAATTTCATAACAGTAATAATCTACAATGAAAAATGTACCCTTTTCGATCAAAAGATTGGATTATTCAATTATTAAATAATAATAATATTACACACTATCATTCGAGTGAGGAGTCAGTAAGACTTTTTTTTTTAAAAGAAGGCAATCGTTTTATTCAGAAAGGATGCATTAAATTGATCAAAAGTGACAGTAAAGACTTTTATAAGCTGTACCACTGTGATGTTAATTTCTTGAGCACTAATTTCTACTGAAAATTCAGCTTTGCCATCACAGGAATAAATAATATTTTAAAATATATTACAATAGAAAACTGTTCATTGAAATTGTACTAACATTTCACAATGTTACTGTTTTTACGGTGTCTATGATTAAATAAATGCAGCACTGTTGAACATGAGACTTCTTTCAACCAAATAGTCTGACCCAAAACATTTGAAAGGTACTTCACACAAATCTGTTCACAGATGATCATTCAACATGTTCAGTGGGTTGTGTCGAACACGTAGAAGTTGGCCTGACATCATCATTGTTTCCATATCTAAAGCAAATTAGTCCAAAATCTTCGTGTTTGGGATAAGAAGGGTATCACCTTTACCTTAATAAATGCAAGCAAAAGATTTGAGATTTCGCCGAGACCAGTAGTTTCCACTAAACCTTTATTCCTCAGTGCACTTTGATCCGTCACTATGCTCTTCAAACTCAGGGCCTTTGAGTTTGTGTTATGCAAGTATGGTCTAGTCTGTGCATTTGTACTTTGAGTACAAGTTTTATACTTTGGTCAGTCTTGTTTCTACTGCAAATGATGGCATGATTTTACAGAATTTTGGTCTGCTCAGTTATTAGATGGTTGACCAGTCACATGAAATATTTCAACAAATTTTAGGTTAAAAATAATAAAGCAGAGCATATTTCAGATGTTGTAACTGTGGCCACCGCTTAAAATCACCTTTTAACTGTTTGCAGTTCACTTAACCCTTGTGTGTCCTTAAGGACATTTTTGTCTTTTACCTTTTTATTTGTGCATTTTTTTAAGTGTAACAGTGTAAAAATGTGTGCAAATGTGTGCATGTGGGAGGGGGATCACACAAATTTTTGGGAAAGTAGTTATACCCTGGGTGAGTAATGTCAGTAAGTTTTAGTCCAGTGCAGTAACTTTAACTAGCATTTTTTGGGAAAAAGAAAATCCTCTCTGGGTCAAAATGTCTTGAACTGTGCTCCAAAGCTTCCAATTTTTATGACAGGTTTTTTGACAGGGACATTTTTGTCCTCTAAGGACCTAAGAGTAACTTTTTTAAATTGATGCACAAGAGTAAATTTTTTTTTTTTTTTTTATAAGTACAAATATTCCTCTGTGCGAGGTCACAAAAACGTCATGTATAATAATTATACAGGAATTATAAAGCATGTCACACTGCAGTCACTTCACATGATATTTCACACGAACTAACCTATTATTTATAGTATTTGGGTTTTTTATGAGGGCAAGTAAAACTTTTGATTAGTAAACATCCTACCCACATACACCGCTGTTTCAAAAAATGAAAATATGATGGTGTTGGTCAGGGAGATTATGGTTTGTTGTGTCACAAAATGCTCTTCTGTAAATCTAACAGCACATGCAGAACTGAGAGCAAATAAGTGCTGTAAAAAGAATCAAACAGGAACACAGCAGTTCACATGCATGTGAGAATATGACAAAGCAATAATAAATTGCAGAGTCATAGATTCAGTCACATGCAAAACTAGTATGTGCTAATTGTGTGTTTATACATGTATTTCTCCAGGTGTTTTGGCATTATGGACTCTGGTCACACACATAATGTACCTTCAGGACTTCTGGAGAACATGGTTAAAGGGACTGAAGTTCTTCTTGGTCACAGGCGTCACTTTCTCCATGGTTTCCATCGTTGCGTTCATCTCCTTCCTCGGTGTTGCCGTCTCCCACAAAGAATGTGAGTAGAGATCCATACTGAAGCACATGAAAGTCCTGAATGTTTGCTTTGAAATTGTATTTGTAACATTTTGGTGTGAACTAAATGTTCATTCATATCAGTCTCAGATGAAATGTTTTGAAGAGAAAGTGGCCTTCAGGACATTAAACTCACAGGAGGACGGTTGTTTGAACTTTGAAAACTGTTTCACCTTCTTTTTAATGTGTGTGTGTGTGTGTGTGTGTCTACAGCCCTCACAGATCCTGCCAGTCTGTACCTGTCGTGTGTGTGGAGCTTCATGAGTTTGAAGTGGGCGTTCCTGCTGGCCCTCTATTCTCATCGATATCGCAAAGAATTTGCCGACATCTCCATCCTCAGTGACTTCTAAATATACACACAGTGACACACTCGTGCCCACAGAGAATGGAGACATGCTTGGCTGTTACCATTTGAAATGGACCAGTAACACTCGACGTGGAGAGTCGGAAAGCTTTCGTGTTTTTTTATAGTATATCAATATACAACATTAGTGTATCGCTTCTCTCTCTTTCTGCTGTTGTCTGTTTAGGCAGTCTGTTGTAGATCGTGTTAGACGCAAGAGTATGTTGAAGGATGTCATCTGTAATTTCAATTTTTTTGACTTTTTAATAGCTCTGATCAATGTCAATATTTTCACTTTGAGTATGTATCGTTTATAGGTATTAAGAGGAGTCTTTTGTCTTTCTCCTTGCTGCTCTTTTCTTGTTGTCCTGAATGTTTTTTCTGCAGTTTCACTATGGGATATTGATAAGTGACAGATTTTTATTAAGCTGATCTGTCATTAAAAAAACGATTTCTCCTGCTGCTGCTGCATAGCAATTAGGTAGCTGGCTATTGGTTGTTAAAAAAGCACTTTATTGTCTAGACAATGTGGTTTAAACAATCGCAAACCTTGTGTGGGAATCTTGAGGCTTTATTGACGAGGGAAACGTTGTTTGGAAAGGCTTTTTGTTTTTCTTTTCTTGTTTATACTTTTATGACCCCAAAGCAACATCCAGCACACATTTGAATTAAATGAATGATTCAATCAATGATTTTTGTAGCACTTTTTTGTAGACAAACAGGGTTAGTGATTTTCAGTATTTACCATCACATGTCTGCCATCTGAGTGTTGTTTAGTATAAATTAATTCACTCAGATAATACTGCATGCATATCTTATATTATGTTGAGATTTCTTTTTATATGTACACAGAAACACTGTGTTACACTGTTTGAATGTGATGTTGGCGTTTGCCTAACATTTCAGACACTTTTGTGAACATATCCATTATATTGTATTGTTATGAAATTAATAACTTTATGTATGTGTGAGCGGGCCATTAATAAAATAACCTGTTATGGCAACCAGACACATGCCTCTTGATTTCCAAACTGTTTTAAAAAATACAGCTTTATTTAATTCTGAGAACAGCAAAACATGTTGAAGAAAACTGAAAAGCCTACAAAACATACAAATCCAGGCAAATGATGTAATGGTATTCCACACAAAAAGCTTTGAATTTAATTGTAGAGCAATTTGGTAATTAAAAAAATTAATTTGTATCAGCCCAAATGGTCTTGCAAACTGACATAGCAAAAAGCACTTTGTACCCTTTTTGAAGGGAAATCAATATTAATAATAATAAAATAAAATAAAAAGGAAAATGTCTCAGGATTTGTTTTTTTAAATGGATGAATATAAAGTGCAATTAACAAAAGCTTTTAGAAATAAATGGTCAAGATCCTTTAAATGCACCAAGGCCAGAGGACTACTGTCATTTCAAAGACTTGAATATAAAACTTCAGATACCTAAAAATTGTAGTCATTTAACATTCCACATTTAAACGGTAACCCTTTACACTACTGTTCAAAAGTTTGTTGGTCGGTGCTATTTTTTCAAAGAACCCTTATATTCATCAAGGCTGTATTTATTTAACCACAAATACAGTAAAAGAATAATACTTTAAAATATTATTACAATTAAAAAAAATGTTTTCAACTAATTTATTTTAAAAGGTAATTTATTCCTGTGACGGCAAAGCTGAATTTTCAGCATCATTACTCCAGTCTTCAGTGTCACATGATCCTTCAGATTTCATTCTGCTGATTTGATGCTCAAGAAACACTTATTACTGTCGATGTTGAAAACAGTTGAGCTGTATATATATATATATTTGTGGAAACCGTGGTACTTTTTTTCCAGGATTCTTTGATGAAAACAAAGCATCCTTGGATTAAAGCATTATTTATTTATTTTATTTTTAGAAATGACTCTATCTGACCCTAAACATTTGAACGGTAGTGTATATATCTCTATGGTACAGATGATCAAACTCCTATAAAAAAAATTCTGGATAAGACCTGTGAAAACATTTCACTTAATTTTTCTCATAAATTTGCACTAAGATATCCTTGTTTGACATTTCTCAGAGGCTTCATGTGCAATCTATAATTCCAAAATCAAAAACACGAGTCAGCATTTGAATAAATCACACACTAGATGTGATTATGACAGTAAAGTTCTTTTGTTGATCTCAGTTCCTAAGGATGGTCTCCTGTCTCACACAGTAATATTACAGTAGCTTCAGTCAGTTAAAGCACAGGATGTCCAGCTTCTGCTTGGAGAGGAATGAAGTCTCCCAGAAAAGGAGTAAGACTTCTACATTGAATCATCTTCATCATGCTCCATTGGCTCATTTGGGAAACTACAAAGCAGATACAAAGCAAGAGCAAGCTCAATATATTCAATAGTTTTGTTAGTTTCAGTTAATCTCTAGCAACGTTAGTCCAATATGCTAATACTGGAAGCTCATAGAGTGCAACAGTGCACAACTGCTTTTTCAGCAGGGTTGGTTACGGAAGTATTTTTCCCATTCTATTTTCCCACAGGGATAAAAAAAAAAAAAAAAAAAAGTATTTGTCAAAGTGTTATAAGTCATTAACAAAACCAACCAGTCACATTACAAACTTTGCAGCAAAAAAGTATTTGAAAACTTGGATTTAATGAGAAAAACTACAATCCTATGAAGCATTGTGAATGACATAATCGAATTAACAACAACAGAGAAATATAAATGTATTCATTTGCAGTTGCATATTATATACAGAAATAATATATTTTAAGTTATATTTTTATAGTGTAGGGAGACTCGATTACATCCATCACAGTGCTTCATGGGAGAGGGTGTTCCCTGTAGAGCTCTTTTGCTCATCGTGACACTCTGATTGGTGGAGATTTTTGAAGAATCATGGGTAATGTAGTTTTTACCAGGAATTCCACTATGACACACGATTCTTTAAAAAGTAAGTTGAATAAAAATAGTAATGCAAACTGATGGCTTCAGCAAAAGCACATACCCTCGATTTACAACCTCGGAGTTCACAGCAGGTCTGTCTATAAAAGTTACTATTAAAAATCAATTTCCTTATGGATAAAATTAGTGGAATTTTTACACAGGGAACCTGAATGTTGCACTCTACTGTTGTCTTACCGGCTTCTGTTTGGAACTTTCATAGTAAGGCCACCAAGGACTAAAGCAGCTTCAGTGCCTGCCGAGTATCTCCTCTCTCCTTTTACATAAGACAGAGACACAGTCTTCAGCATTGAGCTCGCTGAACGCCAGTACCTGCCTGAGAGGGAGACAGAGAGAAGCATGAAAAGAAAAGATCAAGACCACAGAAAATAAACAACACAAACTGAGCTATTCTCACTCTGAGCACGCAGTACCGTCTCCAGAGATTCGATCGCGTTGGCACAGGGAATCCTCTGTAATTCCTCCTCAGCTAAAGGCTCAGGCTGCAGAAACAAAAAATACTCAATTCATGCAATACCCACGGTGTTAAACATGTTCATGTTGGCATCTGTTAGCAACACACACACACACACACACACACACACACACCTCATTTCCCACGAGAGCACTGACACAGGCTTGAGATGCATCGCAGAGGGATATGAGGTCATAACCTCCCTCTAACACCAACACCACTCGACCTTCAGCCAACTCCATTAATTTTCGGGTCAAGAACCCGAAACCTGAGACATATCACATAAAAACTTAAAAACCCATATTCGGTCAGTGGCAAATGTCACATAAAGGTATCAGTCACATTAGTCATTAGTTACAAAAATATCAGCGACTCTTGATATAACGGTTTAACATGTGTCATATGAGAGCCTTAATGACTTGACACATTCACGAGCTGACATGGGTATTAGTCATGATTTAGCCAATAACTTTTGAGTCCCAACAAAAATGCATAGTCATTATAAGTTCTTCTGCTTCCCATCTGAAGGACTCTTATTTTTATTCTTAGGGGAAATCCTACAGAGCAAGAAAATGCAGACAAGCACAAACACTCTCAAGCTCAGATAATATAATACTCTTGCAAAACCTAGTGAGCTAATAAGGCAACAACAAAAAAATATTTTATTCAGTACGGAAAATTATCACTAAAAACGATTTAAATTATTAAATAGTTTTTAAACTACAGCAAGGTAATATAAAAAAAATACTAATAATTTTACCCAGTATTTATGTGCTTGGTATCTTCATGCTTATTACAGTACTATGTAAACATGTTAACAGTAAACTAAATAGGAATAAAATTTGAGTAATATTTCAAAGTTAACATTAAACTATATATATATATATATATACACTACCGTTCAAAAGTTTGGGGTCAGTGAGAATTTTATTTTTATTTTTTGGAGGAAAGAAATCAATCCTTTTATTTATCAAGGACAGTAAAGACATTTATAATGTTACAAAAGATTCTATTTCAAACAAATGCTGTTCTTTTGAACTTCCTATTCATCAAAGAATCCTAAAAAAAAAAAAAAAAACCTGTACAACTGACAGACCAACAACTGTTTCAACATTGATAATAATATAAATGTTTCTTGAGCATCAAATCCTCATATTATACTGATTTGTGAAGGATCATTTGACACTGAAGACACTGACACTGGTGATGCTGAAAATTCAGCTTTGATCACAGGAATAAATTACACTTTACTATATATTCACACAGAAAACAGCTGATTTACACTGGAATAATATTTAATACTATAACTGATTTTTGTTGTATTTTTAATCAAATAAGCGCAGCCATGGTTAGCAGAAGAGAATTCTTTTAAAAGTATTTTAAATCGTACCGACCCCAAACTTTTGAACGGTAGTGTATATATATATTGCACTATCATTTGGAAATTGAAGGCACAAAATCTACACAGTTTGTATTTTTAATACATACATTTTGCTGAGACCATGTATCCACCCAGAGAATCTGAGTGACCCTTTGCAGCATCAAAACCAGCTGAAACCAGCACCACATTTGGGGAAAACTCATGAGCAATAGGCATAACTACGGTTCTATAAAGAGAGACACAATATTTGATTAATTGGTACATGTAGACGCAATAGTGGCACCAGATGAAACTGCAAACAGGTTCCCAGAAGAAAATCATGCAGGTTTGGAATAACATAAGGTTGAGTAAATGATGACCGAATTTCCATTTTTGGCCAAACTATCCCTTTAACGTGAGACTAGAATGACACTAAACACACTAAAATGACGGCAGAATATTACCTGAATGCAGCTAGGTATTCTGCATCTCCCATTGGAAGACTCAGCCCTCCTGACCACGCCACATTTACATTATAGCCTTCCCCTTTATCAGATCCTATCTGCAATACATTCAGTTAGTTTACATTTACATGCAGACATAGCAGTATGACACTTAAAGAAAGCACAGATTTGCCAAAATATCAGATACACTTTATAGTTTCATAGAAGAATATACACAAAACAAACCATGGATGGTCCTCCAGTACCATAGAATGAAGAACCATTGTCATAGTGATGCAGGGATATATAGAGGACATTAGGATCGGTGTAGAATATCTCCTCAGTTCCATTATCATGATGAAGACCCTGATAAAAGTGCAGGGGAGTGCAATGATTAATAAAAACACAAACCTTTTGGAAACCTCATTGATTCATACACGTATATGAAGTGTGTAATCTTTGTACCTCTAGCATCGGCAAATTAAATTGCAAAAAGTATGATTGTTGAAGTCAAGAAGGAGATAAGAAATCAGGTGAAGCTTAAACTTAAGAAATCCTGACTAGGCACAGTACAATATACACTGTCTACTGGATCTAAATCTACAACCCCATATCCAGAATAGTTGGGACATTTTGTTAAATGCAATAAAATCAAGAAGTCTCTTGAACCTTCATTTAACTGACAAATGTACAAAGAAAATATTTCCAATGTTTTCACTGACCAACTTCATTTTATTTTGTAAATATAAACAAGTTTCGATTTTGATGGCTGCTACACACTCCTTTCCTTTCAATTACACTTTTTAATCATTTGCGAGTTGAGGATGCTAACTGTTGAAGTTTTGCAAGTGGAATATTTGCCCAATCTTGTCTGATACAAGACAGCTGCTCAACAGTCTGTTGTCGTCACCGACCGATTCTCCTTTATATGATGGGTCATACATTTTCAATAAGAGACAGATCTGGACTGCAGTCAGGCACATCCCTTCTACAGTGTGGAGTGTCTAGAAACCACTCGGTTTTCAGGAAAGATGTCATCTTGATGGCAGTTTATATCTCTGTGCAATCCAAATATATGCCTCCATGTCAGTGGTACCTTCACACAAATGCAAGTCACCCTTGTCATTTGCACTGATGCACCCCAATACCAGGACAGATGTTTGCTTTCGCACCCGTCACTGATGAAAATCGTTAGGACTGAGAACTCGATGTCCATTTTTTTTCATGGACTCATCTGACCACAGCACACATTTCCACTGTGTTTTAGACCATCTGAGATGAGCTTAGACCCAGAGAACTCGGCAGCATCTCCGCATTGAACTGATGTATACCTTTCTCCTTGAGTCACAGAGTTGCTTTTCTCAATGCAGCGTCAGACTGTGTTCAGTGAAAATGGTTTTCTAAAGTACTCCTGAACACGTGGCTGTATTTAACACAGTTTCTCATGCAATGCCATCTGAGGGCTCAAAGGTCACGCACATTCAACAGAGGTCTCCTGTCTTGCACTACATAGACTGAGATTTCTCTGGATTCCCTGAATCTTTTCACAATATCATGAATGGTAGATGGTGAAAGACATCAATTCTTTGCAATCTTGCATTGAGAAATGTCATTTTTGAATTGTTTGTGCCAAATATCATGAGAGAATTGTCAAAGTGGTGAGCCATGACCCATCTTTGCTTGCAAAGTCTGAGAAGCTCTTTTACACCCAAATACGATACCCATTCATTGTGGACTGGTTCAAAAGAGTTGAATAATCTAACTTGGATAATCTTTTTCACTTTTAATTTGCCTCTGTCCCAACTTTCTTGTAGTGTGTTGCAGCCATCAATATCAAAATTTGTTTGTATTTACAAAATACAATTATGTTGTTCAGTGAAAACATTTTGAAAACTTTTGTCAGTTAAAAAAAAGGTTAAAGAGATTCACATATAGTGAATTTTATTGCATTTTACAAAATGTCCCAACTCTTCAGGAAATGGGTTGTAAAATCTCATGGTCAAATACCCTTTATCAGTAAGTGGAAATATGTGTAAGTGTGGAAATAAATCCACAAAGGTAAATACTGTTTTTGTGTGTCTTACCCAGTCGACTATAAGGATCTTTTTAACCTTTATTCGGTCCTGAAGCTGTTTAGCCGCAATGGCCACAGAATTAAACATACAGGAGCCACTGTAACAGACACAATGAGAGAGATCAGTATTTTATAGTGCAACTTACCGTCTGAAACCCCCCCCTCCCTGGACTTATTGTGAAAGTTTCAGAGATGTACATTATAAAAAAAAAAAAAAAAAAAAAAAAAAAAACAGTAATATACAGCAATATTTACCTACTTAAGCTACCGTTCAAAGGTTTGGGGTCGGGTAAGATGTTTTAATGTTTTTGAAAGGAGTCTCTTTTGCACAATAAGGCTGCTTTTATTTGATCAAAAATACAGTAAAACAGTTATATAGTCAAATATCACTGCAATTTAAAATAACTTTTCTATTTTAATATATTTTAAAATGTAATTTTCTCCTGTGATGGCAAAGCAACGATGTAAAATGGCAAAGCAACGATGTAAAAGTCACTTTAAATTTAATTTTGATCATTTTAATGTGTCCTTGCTGAATAGAAGTAAAAAAAAAAATCGAACTAACCCCAAATTTCTGAATGTGTATGTTCTAGTGTATGTTATTACTGCTACTGAAGTTTATATCAAAAATGCTAATAAATAATATTCTATATATTTTCTTGGGGAACTTTACCCGTTTTACTTTAGGCGAAAGTGGCTGTGAACACCATTTCATGTTGATGTTGTAAAGTGCAACTCACTTTGTTTGAGAATGTGATGCATGGTATCCTGAAGGGGTGACCAAAGCAAACCCATTCTAAGGATGAGTCAGAAAAAGAAGAAGTGAGAATATGTGTGGTTATAGGAGAAAGAATTGTGGACAAAAGGAATCTCACCCTTAGCTCTCCTCTAGCCACATGCAGAGCCAGCTCGATCACACTGCCGAATGCCATATTCAGTGCTGCTGTACTGCAGGAACTATTTGATTTGGTTTTTAAGAGCCCAGAATGAAGAAAACTATGTTGCCCTGAATGAACTGACAGTAGTTCCTCAAAAGTGGCCAGCCTGCCTTTAACCCACTAAAACACAAACACAAACACACATGGATGTAACTTCTCACCACTGCAATAATAGTTACAGCTATATACAGTATATAATTTGTTCAGGATTGTTTACCTCACACTGGTCCCTGAGGCCACACTGCTGCAATCTTGACCAGATACTTCTAATTCTGTTACCATGTTCACGGTGAAAGCTGATATCTCCACAGTCACACACACGATTCAGCATACGAGAGTCATACACCAAACCTACACACACACACACACACATACATACTATATACATACAGTACATGCATTTTATACAACATTTACAAGAGTGCTGATATTCAGTCCAACAACACTGGGACTTCACGATCTTCCTATCACTCTGCTTATCTGTGTTTGTGTGTTTCGGACAGATAGTCAGTCTGTCATTTAGTGGTATAAATTATTTTATTAAATTTTACTTTTCTATTTAATCTATTTTACATTTCTTTGTCAATTACCCTGTTTTCCTTCTCTCTTCCTTCTTTCCGGTGCTGACTAGAGAATACAGAGAAAAAGAGCTGTTGTCTACCCTTTTGCCAAATAGGTAGGAAAACTTCTACACCCATAATGCACTGGGCATGTTGCCATCCAAGGCCACTTCTAGTCTGCTCCTATTGGATAGAACGGGTTGCCAAGTTTATGGTTTTCCCAGTGAATTGGGCTACATTTAAACTGTTGCCAGTGCCACGGGTTGATTTTTTCCCCTGCGCGTTTAAGTTTTGACATATTGCATAGATTAGATTGACTGAAATGTTTGTATTGAAATATTTGATCTTCTACCAATGATAAAACTGTGCTGGAAGTTAAGTTTTGTGAAGGAGGGCCACTGGTAGGGAGCTTTTGAGTTATGTTTATAATCCCCATGATATAGTGTTTTTTGTTTTGTTTTGTTTTTTGCATAACAATGACTGTAAAAAAAAATATTTTACATATGGGAATGGTATATTTTTGAGTTCTGATATTTGGGATATGGTCTTTGGGCTACTTTTGGGCTGTTTTTGATTGGCCGTTGGGCAACCCTGTGATTAGGTTTGATACAAGTTCGATACAATTTTCACAGATAAACATACTCTTACAACAACTGTTTTGTTAACCCTCTGAGGGCAGGGATGCAAAAATGAAAAATATAATCTGTAGTTTTCACGAAAGACCTGGAGCTGTCAAATAAACAGTAATTTCTCGGTCCAGGTAACACAAATAAAGATTAAACTTTGTTCATTTACATATACTACAGTACCGACATTGTAACAATACAAAGCAGGTTGAAACTTGGCGAACTTGCACTTAAATATTAACCTCTTAGTACTTAGAATATACTGTTTGGTGTTTGGCATGTCACCCTTTTTTATGACAGTAGTGCTTGAGATGCTTGATCTCAAGTTCCTGATTTGTCTAGGATTTGTCTAAATCCTAAAGTGCTTCAATGGGAGCTAGAACATGATGTCCTATTTGTACAATTTCCGTATTTGATTAGTGACTTATTATAAATTATACAAAAACATTTAAATATTTCTTAGTGTTATTTTTTAAACACCCCCAAACTATTTTCCGCAGGTTGTTTTAACGGATGTTTTGTTGTGACACCCTCTTTCCTCCTACCTGTGGTGTATTTTGGTTTGCTCCTTACATTCCGGGCAAGAGGCGAGGTTAAATGTGAAGGCAGATTTATTTCAAAGGTGTCTGGAGAGGATTGCACACGTTCAAGTTTCCGGTGGTATTTTTTGTTTTGCCAATCCCAATATTCTTTACTGTGCAGTTCTCCCGGGGTATTACTGCAACAGTTATCAAGCGGGGCTTGAGATGAAACGCTTACTGCTTCTCTCGCTCTCTCTCTGTCCCTTTCCAGCTCTCCAGAAGACACAGGCCACAATGAGTGAACAGGTACCTTATAAAGAGATAGAGCTTGTGAAAAAGAACTCTGTGTGTTTGCGCGCAAAGACATTTGCATTTGCCTTACCTTTTTTGGAGCGTGTTGTTGGAATGTATCCTGTGGCCTCTGCTGATGGTACATGGGGTGTGGAACCATAAGAGTCTGAGTGTGTATGTGCGTATAATGGTGAATAAAAGAAGGTTCCGACTGGGTTTTGCACAAAGGCCTATGTGACATCACTACACAATGTTCTGGGAGTGGGACTGTGAGAGAGAAAGTGCAAATAACACGAAATTTTTTTTTACACCAATTTATTTATTTTTTACTCTCAAGATCAGTGAATGTGTGTGTTTGCCTACCTGTAAGAAAATTATGTGGATGAAAGGTAAAGACCGGTGTGCTCAGTGGCTGTAAATGAGCGGTAGAACATCCAGACAAGAGGATGGGGTTCTGAACGCCAATGTGTAGAGGAGATTCACCCTGAGGAAAAGTAGCTGCAATCAGCAATGAGCAAAGTGCAGGCTTATTGTAGCATTACCAAATAAACTTACCGTTCAAAAGATTGAGTCAGTAGCCTATGATTTTTTTTAAAAAAAAAGTAATTAATACTTTCTTTTTTTTTTTAGCAGGGTTGCTTTATGAAAGTAAACACATTTATACTGTTACAAAACATTTCAAATAAATGATAAATGTTTTTGGACATTGATAATAATAATAATAAAATATCACAGTTTCCACAAAATTGTTAAGCAGCACAACCATTTACAACTGTGATAATAATAAGAAATGTTTCATGATCACCAAATCAGCACATTAAAATGATTTCTGAAGGATCATGCGAGATCGAGTATTGATGCTGAAAATTTTACTTTGCCATCACAGGAATGAATTACATTTGAAAATATCTTAAAACAGGAAAAAGTTATTTTATTTTGTAATAAAATTACATTATTACTGTATTTGAAGCATTGGTGAGCATAAGATACCTTTTTCCAAGTATGCATTATATATATATATATATATATATATATATATATATATATTTAAAATTAATTTTCATTTCTATAAAATTTTATAAAAGTCTTCTCTCAATTTAAAAACACTGTTATGCAGCTTTACATCAATTAAATATTAATTATTTTAAAACCAATAACAGACCTTGTATGATGATGCGCTATAGGTCTGTGGCTCTTGATGGCTCATCCTTTTATCTGGTGATAAACTTCTCCTGGACTCTGAAGCAGAACTGGAAGATACCTCTACAAAAATGCAGACAGCAGGTCACTACAGGATCTTTGCTTTTTTTTGTTTATGATAGAGATGAAAAATATGACACTTTTGAAACAGCTTCACTTATGTGAATTTATACACACCCATAAATTCAGAGGATCTGACAGCAGGGGGCGCACTGGTTTTACACTGCAGTGGGTTCTTTCTCGAGTTTACACTTCTCTTTGGTCGCAGCTTTAGAATTGGCTCTGAGGCTTCTCACAAACATGCACACACACACACACAAATGTATATTTACAGTATAAATACATGAAGACTATATTCGTTATAAGCTCTTCGATGTTTGCTCATTTCAAGCTCACACCTTAATTTGAATGTGTACATGTGTCACCTGTTCTTCTTAATGGATTGTCTTCCTCAAAATAAGAGTCAGGTGTGTTGGATGCACGCAGCTGTTGTGGATCCCGACTTTCAGATTTCCTGAGAAAGAAGAAATAAAAATAAAAAAAACCCTCCAATTTCACAATTAAAATGCAACCTACAGTATACAGTTGAGGTAATAAGTATTGCCCTCCCTTGGTAAATATGGCCAAATACAGCTGTGAAAATAAATCTGAATTGTTTATCCTTTTGATCCTTCATTTAAAAAAAAAAATCGCAAAAATCGAACCTGTCAGCAAAACATTTGAAAGTGGGAGGAAACTACATTATGAAAGAAATGTTTTTACCAATACATGGCCAGAGTTAGTAGAACCCCTAGAAATTCTTATGAGTAAAATGTCTCTGAAGTATATTCCCATTCACATTACTTTTTTTTACTAGGAACATGAAACTTTGTCCAGCCATGACTTCCTGTTTCACAGGAGTATAAATATTTCCTAAATGTGACCCTGGACCACAAAAGCAGTCTTATGTGTCAATTTTTTTAAATTGAGATTTATATATCACATGAAAGCTGAATAAATAAGCTTTTCCATGTTTCCTTTGATGTATGGTTTGTTAGGATAGGACAATGTTTGGCCGAGATACAACTATTTGAAATCGGGAATCTGAGGGTGCAAAAAAATCTAAATATTGAGAATATCGCCTTTAAAGGTTTCCATTTCTGTTGGCGATTGTGCTGCATCCACTTACAAAAATAAAATTTTGAAATATTTAAGGTAGGAAATTTACTAAATATCTTCATGGATCATGATCTTTACTTAATATCCTAATGATTTTTGGGTTTCGATAATTTTGACCCATAGTGTTTTGTTTGCTATTGCCACAAATATACCCGTGCAACTTAATACTGGTTTTGTGGTCCAGGGTCACAAATAATCAATCACAATGGGTAAAAAAACAAATAATATAGTTCTGTCATGACAACTCTCAAAGTGTTTAGCATGGTAATTGATATAAACAATGTTTATAAGTTTGGTCTTGGCAAAATAGTTATGCTATCCTGCTGCTGTTGGTTATTGCTACTGCCAATACATAAAGGACACGCTGCTGTAAGAAAGTAAGACATGCTGCTGCTGTACAAAATAGCATACATGAATTACCCATAGCAGATCTTATACAGGTGGAGCTGGGGAAGGTGGAGGGTTTCTGAAAACACGCTACAAACTGCTACAGCAAATTCTGACCAAGTATTTAAAAAGGTTAAGCAGCGAGCTCATTGGTTACTGATACAGGAGGATCCAATCAGCTGTGCCCTATAGAGAATGATGTGATCGCACATAGATTGAGTTAAGGACCTATCAACATGTGCCATCTAGTGTTTGATGACAGAACTTTGTATTTCTGATGTGCAGCAAAGGATTTTTGAGCTTCACAAAATAAATAAAAGAGCTGTAAGAAAATAGCATTATAAAAATGTCCATTTCCGACATCAGAGCAATGATTATTTCCAATCAACTATACAAATCTGCCTGGAAGAGGACATATCTATATTGTCTTAATGCACAAAGACTCTCCAAGGATCACTGCTGAGGATTTGAAAAAATTAGTTGAGTCTTGGAGTCAGAAAGCCTCAAAACAAATAGGCTATATCAAACAGTACCTACATCACCACAAGTTGTTTAGGAGGGTTTCGAGAAAAACATCCTCTGTTCTCATCCAAAAACAAATTCCAGCATATTCACGTGCCAGAAACTACAGGGACTTCTAACGGGACTGGGTTCTATGGTCAGATGAAACTAAAAAATATATGTTTTTGACAACAAACACACAAGATTGGTTTAGTGCACACTGGGCTAAAAAAGTACCTCATGCCCACAGTTAAATATACTGCTTAATTATTTTTCTGCCAGAGGTCCTGGACATCTTGTTCAGATAAATGGTATCATGGATTCGATAAAATACCACAAGATGAAAAAAATCGAAACCTGATTGCCCCTGCAAGAAATCTTATAACTGGACCGTGGTTGAATCTTCCACCAGGACAATGATCCAAAACAAACATAAAAAATGATCACAAAAATGGGTCACTAAACACAACATGAAGGTTCTGCCATGGCCATTCCAGTCTCCTGACCTGAACCCTACAGAAAATTTGTGGGGTGAACTAAGGTGATATTCAAACTCATCAGGCATTACAAGAAGACTTGGAGCTGTTATCTTGGCAAATGCAAAAAGTATTGAATAAAAGGGGGCCAATAATTGTGGCCAACGTGTATTGGAGCAAAACATTTATTTCATAATAGATTTTCCCACCATTTTCAATTGTTTAGGTCAATGAAAGGTTAGATTTTTACAGATGTTAGATAAACAATGTAGATTTATTTTCATAGCCTGCTTTGCTCATATTTTTTTACCATGGGGATCAATATTTCTAAGGAGTACGGAGTAAGGAGACAGTAATGGCAGGTTTTTATTGTTTGTAACCTGATCAGCTTCTTGCGAATATGCTGATTTAGTATTCGTTTCACCTGGTCACTGGCAACGGCACCTGCCAATCATAAAATCACACCAGAACAGACAAATTATGTTTAGAAACACCATACGGAATTACAGTATACAACAGGGTCAGAAATTAACCACGGCTTGGTGAAAAATGCAGATGAAAAATGTCAGAGCAAAAAAGAAATGTTTATCTGACATTTTAAATATGTCATACTCATAATATTCTACTCTAGGCCTGTATGGGTTCAGACACTAAGCATTCTAGTTGCAATTTAATTCGTTTTAGAAATAAATGGGCAAGCCATTCTTTTACATACAGAAACAAATATTTGCCCCTAAAATCAATCCAATGGGCCAAATATCAACCCTTAACTAAAAATTAATTAATTAACACTTTCTGACACTGGTATACAATAAAATATATATATTTGTGGAAAAAGAAAAACATGAGTATACTCTGTTCACTCTTCTTTTTATTCAAAGGCTGATTAAATGGCTGTTTTCCCACTTGTGCGCTCTCCCTCCCTCTCTCCAGCTTCCTGTGCGGATGTTGAGACATCTGAATAATGAGGATGAGACAGAATATCAGTTCTGAAACTGGAATATTGAATATCAATGGTTCCAGAGCAGGCTTGTTTCAAATTACACTGCAGTATGCATGCTAACCAGGGGCTTTAACAGTGAGGGTCTATGTAGATATCTATATTACAATTGTAATGGGAGGGGGGGGGGGGGGGGGGGGGGGGGGTATCCTTTAAGCCAACAGTCCTTAGTCCAATAGGTTCAGCAATGCAGGACTTACTTTACCCGCCCCCAACAACAGTTCCCCTAGAGCGAGAAGACATTAAATGGCTTTTCAGTTTCTGTAGTGTCCTTCTCTGTATTTTTTTTTTATGAACTCAACACATACCAAAACATCATCACCATTTCGTTGTATGCTACCGCAGAAACCATGCTGCACTCAATCTAGGCTGGATCACTATGGTAACCCTCCAGCTGACAAGGAAGTGCTCTATTAAAACGCACATTGAAGAAACTCATCCACTTCCTGAAGCTAAAATTAGAATTGTTTGTCTGATTTAGGGGTGATTTATGTAAGTATGGTATGCTATTCTCATCCTACAATTTGCCTGACCTATATTTGACTTAAATGGCTCTTGGGAAACATTTCAGTCAAGATGACAAAATCATCGCAATGCAGAACAAGTCTAACTACCAAAAGTTCAGGGTATTTTTTTGCAGCTTAAAAGCTTTTTATTTTTATTTTATTTATTTATTAAGCTTTAAGAATGAATAAAAGCAGCTGAAAGACTAAAAAGTGCAAATCTCACATTTTAAGGGTTTCATGCTATACACACACACATAGCAAATAGGTGATTGACATGCTTATATATATATATTGTTCTAATACTAAACTAATGAAACCAAATAATCTTACTCAAAAAGATTCAAAGTCTGACCAATAGTTCAATCCAAAATGAAATACTATATTACACTTCCACCTTTGATCGAATACATGCCATTATATTTGACCTGTTAAGTTATAATAATATTACATGAAGCCTGCGATGTGGCAGATATTTCAGTTGTCTATATGGTAACTGAACATAGCAAATAAAGTTTAAACACATGCAGGTCTCTTACCTGTCACATCAGCATAGCTTTTCCACCTCTAATACGTTTCCAGGCACCAAGTGTTCATCTAAAAATGACACATAACATGCATTTGCACTTTCTGGCTGGCCACTTCTAAAAATGAAAAGCAGAACTACAGAAATCTAAATTCAAACCACCTGCAGACGACAGCGAGCTCCAAAGGTGTGATTTCGTTGAGTGACATCTAGCTACATTTATGTTCACGCTGTCAACTCTGAAGCCCCTCCTGTTGAGCTTCCTCTCTTCTCACAACACCAACAGTTGTTTGCTTCTCTCTACGAACTAATCTATCAATGATTTCATTTGGAATCCAAGTTGTGCATGCAAATGATTGATAGCTTAATGTCTGCAATAGCCACAATTTAGCTTGCAAAATGGTTTGCTGGCAGAGTCACGTAAAGGAAGACTGTGTATTTGAAAGATAAGGAAGGCAGGGCACACGCTATTATCTGGTGCCACCCTTACCAACTAATGTACAGTAAAGGGTTATTCTGGGATGGAAAGTCAAAAGACATTCAAGTGAGAAAAATAAGAGAGGCGCACTACGAGCAATTTAAATTTTTATAAAAATTCGAATACAAATGTTTTACCAAATCACTAAATATATAGAATCCGGTAAATAAACAGGAGAGACCAGTGATATATTTTGCATTTCAGGTCACATAACATGTTTACATGTCAAGCATCAACACAAACATGTTGGTTCCGTTATATTAATGAGGACACCTCATAGGCGCAATGGTTTTATACTGTACAAAAATGCTAGCCCAAACCCACACAAACCTGTTGATATAATGCAAAACATGATTTGGCTAATTTAGGAACTTCTCATATAGCGAGGACTACTTCAAATGTCCTCAAAACGTCTTGTTTTATTTTATTTTATTTTATTTATGAAGACATTTTCAAAAATCTGGAACTCAGCCAGTGGAGGTCAAGACATTGGTCCAAAGGCAAAGGCAAAACTTATTTGCAGTTATTACTATTTACAAATTGCAATTAGACAAAAAGTGCTACAACCATTCTGGGCTGCGTTTCTCAAAAGCATCATAAGCCTAAGTAGATTGTAGAAGCATTGGCTCCTGATGCTCATGATGCTTTTGAGAAAAAAAGCAAAACTACTTTAGAATCAAACTTATTGCAAATTGTGCTCAGTAGAGATACTGAGATATGTAGGCTATATTCTACTAAAAGAGAGGGGATATTGCAAACAAATAGTTGGAAAATTAATATTTAAAAACCAAACCCCAATTTGGTTGTTATACGTGAAATCTTCATGAAAGGAAGAAGTCTTTATTTATTTCATCCTTGATTTTTCTCACATTTTCAATCACTGACTTCTTCTCTGAGCTGGTTAAAATGTTGCAAGTAATTTAGAAGAGGTTTGTGGTTCTGTGGCTTTTTGATCAGTTGTCACCTCTGCATTTGCACTGGCATCAAATGAATGATTTGCTTCATATGATCAAACTATTTGTTATCAACTCTGCATGATGATATTTAATGGCCCTCCAATTTGTACATTGGAGCTCAACATGCATATAGTGTTTCTGTGTGTGTCAATGTATGTGTCTGTGTTTGGTTTTGCACCTGCTCTACCGCTTTACAGGAAGCTTTGACCTCACCCCCCTTCACTGAGACGTTCTCATTCTCTGTTTGCGCGCTCTATCCAGGTTTGTCTATGTAGATACCTAGGCTCTTTGCTGAGACAGCAGAGAAGACAATGTGGTTTTAATCAGAAACACACGCGAAAAGGCTGCCCCATATAAGAACCACCCCAGGCCACTTGCACAACCACCTGCAAATGCATCCCCAATCTCAGTTTCAAAATGAGCCGAGCCCATGCGTGTCCTCCATGTTTTAAAAGTAAAAAACACTTAACTATTTTGTATGTTGTGCCAGTAAATACCTGTGGTGACCTCACCGCATTCCTTTCCATTTGCCCTGATCTGTGCACCCGTGTCTGTGTTTGTGTGTGAATGACATTTCACTGCTACTTTGACATTCTGAGCATGAGCTAAACTGAGGAGACACGAAGCAACGGGGGTTTTCCACGTGATGCATGGGACGATTGAGTTTAATACGCTGATTTCACGCTGCCGCCATTTTGAAATCGAAAGTGAGGCTCCGGTGGGAAGAACCCCGGAAGTACAGATAAACAACAATGCCTTGGACTACCAACCTGAAGCTGCTGCCGCGATTTACACTATTGGATGTTAATATCCAATATAGGGTATGTATAGTTCGTTCCTGCTTCTTTTTTTACGCTCTGAATTATATATAAAAAATGTTTTATTTATAAATTAATTTCACTGTATATAGTCTAAAGTATGAAAGAAATGTATGTACATTTTTAGAATAACTAATTTCTACATTAACACAACAATATGCCATCGCATTCGCGACTCTCCTATGATTAAAAGCGACACTTCCGGTTTTCTTCCCACCGGAGCGATTTCAAAATGGCGGCTGCGTGAAATCAGCATATAGCTCTATATTGACTTCTAACATCGTGTATTTACTAATGTTACATAGGAATTCAGTGTGACACTACCAAGATTGGCGCTCTCATGGCTATATAACATTAATAAATGGTTGTTTAAAGACAGCACAATCATTATATTTTGTAATATAGCTTTAAAATAACTAATTAAAGCTTAGCATATGATTTAAGCAGTGGCGGCCTTAAGCATCTGGGGGCCCGTTTCAATAACTAATATGGGGCCCTACCCACATAAAACATAAACATAATAGAGCAGAAAAAGCAAGGATTCCTGTTGGTTTGCATCAATGGTATATTATTTTATTAACTACAATTATACAGCGTTTTACGTTGGAATAAGCCTCGCCCTTTCACGCAGGGTAACTTCACTTTTGGTAGACTGAATAAAGCTTTTCTTTTGTTGTCTGATATCTTTAGTTTTTCAGCACCACTGTACGTTTCATTTCCTCTTAAAATTATTTTTCTGCTCAAAATAACATTTTAACCTAACGGCAAAAAAGGCAAAGGTATAAATACATAAACTACCGATATTATACTTCAGATCGCTTAAGCCGTTCGCGGGAGTGGTAAACGTCGCCATGGTAACCGCGAGTTCTACCAATCAGAGACGTCAGTGTTTTGCAAATAACAAGGTTGATTTCGTAGCTTATTGTGGCTTTTAAAGGAGCAGAATCTTTCATTTCACAATCTCGTAGCTCGTGGTCAATGTACCTCGAATGGTTTAGACATTATGGCTGAAAATCAATATCCTACGGAGAAAATGAATGGGATTTTGCTGGTCTGTTGGGGCCCCCTTGGAGGGCGGGGCCTGTTTCAATTGAAACGGGTGAAACATAGGTAAGGCCGCCCCTGGATTTAAGCACATACCGGTACTAACGTTTGAACTTGTTGCCCTGGTTGGATGTTATGAAAAACTATGATGATCTGAAGTGTGCGAGATGGTTGGTAAGAACCAGTGTCAAATGCCATTTATTTATTCATAAAATGTGTAAAGCACCTTTTTTATGGTACAGGACAATAGAGAACAGACAGAAAGCAAAGAAAGAGGGGACAGGAACAGGAAAGGACCACAAGCCGAGGCTCGAACTTGGGTTGCCCAAGAAAAAATAAGCAACATTTCAGAATAAGGCCCACATGGCTAGCGGCTCCTACTTTAGAACCATTACCCACATTATGTCTCATTAGCATGTGTTCTTGTGTTTTTTTTTTATATTTAAAAAGTATTTATGATTTATGGTAGTGTTTGTACCATAAAAGTAGCCTATTTATGATTTATGACACTTTAAAAAGATTATATTACACAGAATTATATTTCAGATCTAGACTAGTAGACCTAGTTGGTTCAAAAACACTGACCCAAATTTAATGATGTGAATAGAATGTAGACTGTGTTTTAGGCAAGCACCTGGTTTGTAATACTTACAGTAAAGCTAACCAAATTCTCAGTAGGCAGTTGATCTTCAGTCATATCAGCTAGGGCACACTTCCAAGGAAACGCCCACAGTATTAATACCCAGACAGAAATAGAGAGGGGACAGGAGTTGATAAGACAGCCATTCATTTTTCAGCTTTTACTGAACTTTATCTAAAAGGCACCCCGCCCTAATTTAGACCCATGTTTGCACACTTAAACAGACACACACACACACACACACACACACACACACACACACACACACACACACACACACACCACACACACCACACACACCACACACACACACACACACACACACACACACACACACACACACACACACACACACACACACACACACACACACACACTACTCTTTTCAGCATGCCCAAAGAGCATTGTATTCTGTGAATTTCAGCACAGACGATTTTATTTTCATAATAAACAGTGTTGGGTGTAATGCATTACTAAGTATTTAACTCTTTCCCCACCATCATTTAATTTATTATTTAAAAAAAAAATAAAGTTAATTAAATGTCAGCCAGCATTTTTGGTAATTTTCACAAAAATTCCATGGCCCCCAGAATATTTTGTTGTATGAATATCTGAACATGCAATATATATACTGTATATATATATATATTTAAAAGCAGAGGGCCTTTATATATATATATATATATATATATATATATATATATATATATATATATATATATATATATATATAAAGGCCCTCTGCTTTTAAACAAAAAAATCTGTTTTATTTAGCTGCATACATTTGTTTTTTATCAACACTTGAATATGGGTAAGTTTCATAAAAAAAAAAAAGCAACACTGAGCACGTTTTTGTCAAAGACTACGTCTGGATCAGATTCAGTGTGATGATCAAAACATAGATGGAGTAACGTTAGATCGAGTCCATCAACACACTCAAAGCTTGCACAGTCCTATAGCTCGTCCTGGGTCGACATTTCACTCGGGGACCGTTTTGATTTATGCAGTTTATTGTTGATGATCGCATTATTTTTCATATGCATCTGCTTGCATATGAGAATTAAAAAGAGCAGTTTCATGTATATCCTTGTATTGTTCAACTTGTTGAGGTTGATATGGGATTTAGAAAGTAGTTATAAAAGGAATGCAATATTTTTTTTAGAGAGTATAATTAGTATGGTAATCTAATTACACTATTGAAGATGTAATTAGTAGCTAGTAATTCATTACTTTTTTTGAGTAACTTACACAAATTTATATAGGCCTATGTAAACTAGAAAACACCAAAAAAACTTATTTGGGTTACATTAAGCTTAGATTCTAATAAACCTTTTTTTTTTTTTGCTGTAAAATAATTTTGTGTAAATTCCAAAATTGTTTAATTTTTTTTTTTGAAAAGTCAGTCCA